TTTGTAGCCTCCCTATTTGAATTTTTCATATAAACTAATTGGAGATAACCCCAATTCACAGTGACGTCCTCTAGCATCGATAGCTGGAAATATCTCAAAGCTTTTCTCAATTGTTTAGCCAGCTTTCAAGGATATACATGCTTAAGTTTAGCACCTCCAACCGGTAAATCATCAACTATGCCTCAACTAACTAGATCCTCTATATCCATTATGTTGCTCTCCTTCTCTTTTCATTCCAACACTTGTAAATAACTACTGTTATAATCGCATTATTTAATGCTGCGCAAACAAACATATAATTCAAGAAATAAGAGTCAATCAAACCCACTTAATTTCGAATAAAAATCCAGTTTTCCTTCAGGCAGCAGCAAATAATCAGCACAGCATATGCAATTTCATCCTAAATCTCAGTACATACAATTTAATTCAGTAGCAGATTGTCAATTCCACAAAACCATTTAATACATATACCTCAACAGAGTGGAATAGTTCAATTGGTTAGCAACAATAGAGTCAATTAGGATACTCACTCCTCCATTAACAGTCACTTAATCAGATTTGGGGCGTCTATGCAATTTAATCTAACAAAAATAGGGGGGAAATTTTGAGATCTTTAACCACCAAAGAAACAGTAAAAGATTTGATACTTACAGCAAACAAAATCTTGAAATTGTAGCAGAGAAATTGGGTCGTCAGATTTGTAAGAAAAATTGGAAAATTTGCACCCTTTTAGATAAACTAGATGGGATTGGCCCGTGCAAGCCCGGGCCCAACACTTTGGACAAATAATATTGTGAAAATGTGTATGGCACATATTTCTGTTATGCTCGTATAAAGCAGATATTAATGTATAAAGTGAGACCAAACAGACAACAACAATGACAGAAACACAAACTGTAGGTATCAATTCGAACAAAAAAAAGTAATAAATTTTCTTTCCTCTCTCTTTCTGTTTCTAAATTGAGCAAAAACCAGAGCCTTTTCCTTCTCATCACTTTTAGCTTTTGCTTTGCAGATTCATGAAATCCATCAAAGAAGTTGGGTAGGGAGGATGACTGGAATTGTCTAGATAAAGCGAGATCAATAGGCACCTCATATAAACAGCTTATGCAGTAGAACAACATGGACTGGTAGGAAACCTTTGTAGACAGAGTTAACCAGTATGAAAAGTTGAAGTACAGCTTAAGAATGCTTTTAACACAATTGAAGTGCAAGAACAACTGTAGTGAAAAAACATTCCATGAAATGGATGATTAAGTGTATTACTTTGATACATATATTCTTTATAATCAAGTAAAAGTATATTTGTGACAACCCCAATAAATTTATCATTGAAGAAGTCCCAAAAAGGGCCAACAGTTACTCCCTCATAATAGTCCTAATAAAATTTCATCAAATTGCAGCTCTGGTAAATAGCTTGATTTGCAAAATAACACAACCAGAAAGAAAAACAATTTAAAGTAAACCAACTTAGAGAGTACCCTAAGATAATCATAAAGATAACTATTTCCAGGTAAGAGTATTCTCTTAGATATCACTGCTTCCTTCCATTTCTACATGGTGCCAAAAATTAAATATCACTGCTTCCTCCCATTTCTACATGGTGCCAAAAATTAAATATCACTGCTTCCTCCCATTTCTACATGGTGCCAAAAATTAAATATCACTGCTTCCTCCCATTTCTACATGGTGCCCAAATTTAACCCCAAATAAAAGAAACTAATAATTATTGAAACGAAATTAATCACCGGAAGTTAAAGTCGAGATGATCTTTATAGAAAAAAGCACTTTAATGCGATGAACAAAAAAAAACACAAGATAAATGAATCTGGAGAAGACAGAAAACCAATTTGTTTAAATCTCATGGGAATTTGAAGTTACTAATTTAGAAACTTTCTATCTCATGGGAAGTTGAAGTTATTCATGAGGACGCTTTCCATCAGCTTTAAGTTTGAAGAATGGAAGGAGCACTACTTTATACAATCGCTATAAGCAGTCAGTTTAAACATGTTCAAAACTCATAGTGCGCGTATTTTAATTCTCCATGTCTACATAGAGTGATTACCCACTGCTGGTTTGGTATAGTATCTGAGCTGCTGAGAAGCTAAGAGAAAAGAGAGGATCAATGCTACCAAGACAAAGCATCCTGCATTTGCAGGGCAAACTTGGAGATCTTTATATAGGTTCACATAGAAACAGAAAAGATGTTAGCATTCAGAACTTGTAGACCCTTGATCTTTTAGAAAAATAAAATAAATTGAGATAGAAGAAATGCAGGGTTTAGCAGTTTTAGCAACACAATTTCAGTAGCCAAGACCATTTTGCAGGGGTAGACCACCAATATAGTGTACAACATCTACATAGTAGATTTAATGGGAAGACAATCTTCAACAGTTTAAATCGGTTACTTTGAAATTTGATGAACAACAACAATAACATTTACACGAATCAAGAAGAGAAGATGCAGATTCACCTTTAGCTTCAGATATTGGTTTTTCTGCAAGGACCTGCATTTTGTAAGAATGAATTATACATGTAACCATGGTATTCATTAATGAGCAGCTTGAAAGGTAAACTCTCTCGAAAATAAATTTGCAACTCCTGGTTTATCAAGTAACACAGATATGATATTTTTACAAATCATAAAAATATATTCATTAACATGCAGCTTGAAAGGTAAACTTTCTTGAAAACAGGTTGCAACTCCAGCTCCACCAAGTAACACAGATGTTGATAGTTTGACAAATCAGGAATAACGGTCTCACTTCTAATCAAGAACAAAAAGGTTTTCATAATTCTTGATACCAACTTATACTCCAAAAAGTTAGTAGCTAAAAGATTTATCACAGTACAAAAATAATAAAATCAAAACACTTACTAACAACTGTACAACTTCTCTTTTTTTCTCAAAGCTGAATATGATAACAAAGAGTGCAAGAAGACAGACAATCACATAAAAAGACAACTCAACAAATTTATCAGGACTTTATCTCCAAACATAGTCCATCCAGAGCTTCGACTTTATTATCCACAATTACAAGGTATCCGACTTTAAGGAGATCCAATAGGCAGAACATCTCCCTCCCTCCCTCTATCTATCTATCTATCTATCTATCTCTTTATCTCTATCTAGCTAGCTATAAAAAATTATTTAGCATTACAAGTTTATTATAACAGAGAAGAACAAATTCATTATTAGTAAAATATTGAGAAGACAACGAATGCTCCTTTTTCCGGGCTTGAGATCAGCTGTATAACTCAAACATATGCGGAGTTAAATTAAAAATTGGTTCTTGACGTAAGAATTAACATGACCTGGCATCACACTGTGATCATAGAGAAGAAACTTTACTACAGTCAGGTTTCTTTGACAGAGTTGAATATAGACACACTCTGTAGACTTCTCAAGCTGAGATACCACTGTTAGAATCGTATTTTTAACTTCAATCATTGCAAAATTTGATATTTCAGGAGATCTCCTTAAACAGAGATTCTTACACAATCCATTTTCAATCACTGCACAAATTTTGTAATCTGAAGTGAGATGGCTTGGGAAAAAGATAAAAAGGATGATAAAGACATAGAAACCTTGAATTTTATGTGTCAACTTTCAACAAAGAAACTCTCGCATTATTATATACACGTATCAATTTTTGAACAACATAAGACACTAAGTACTAAATGTTGATGAAAGTGGCTCTAAGTAAAAAAACGTAAAAGATTAAGTCCTCATCAATAGAAATAACAATTGAATATTAGACATGACAATTGACATCATAGCCCATTGATTGGATTCGGATGGTTCATTTTCTCTGAAAATCATGTTAGACGACTTCATGCTCGTGCATACACATAATCTTGCAGTCTACGAAGTATGAATTTTACGATCCAAAAGCTTCCTTTTTGATATCTCCTAGGTTACTTCTACAAGCCAAAAAAAAAAGAGAAAGAGCACAACTTAGTTTTTCCTTTTCTAAGACAAGGTGGGTTGCTCTGATGGTAAGCACCCTCCACTTCCAACCAAGAGGTTGTGAGTTCGAGTCACCCCAAGAGCAAGGTGGGGAGTTCTTGGAGGGAAGAATGCCGAGGGTCATTTGGAAACAGCCTCTCTACCCCAGGGTAGGGGTAAGGTCTGCGTACACACTACCCTCCCCAGACTCCACTAGTAGAATTATACTGGGTTGTTGTTGTTTGTTGTTGTAAGTTACTACCACCATATTACCTGATGGCTGATGCCACTTGTCGTTCATACATCTCCTTAAAACTTTCTATCGCTCTCTGTAATTTGTATTTTGTCCCAAGGTATCATTGACAAATTTACTAATGGATCGCAGCCTTCATCAATCTTCGAATACTAAACAGAATGCCCAGCCTAATTTGCTAAGGTGTCTCACTCTTAGGAAGTTAAACAGTTAACAAAACCACTATAATCGTGGTTCACCTACATGATCTACAGATCTACTACGTTATAGAAGTATATGCTATGATAGATTGTACTGCGAGAATTGCTCAAGTTACAGAAATACCATGAAACTTGGATAATAAAATCTTTTTTGTCCCAAAGGTTCTTCCTTTCAACTTGTTGTTCCCAAGTTGAAATAATAAATAGTACTAATAGCCAAGAAATAACTAATCTTTCACTCAGCTTATCATCAAAATAACTTTGAAAATAACTTAATGAATATGCTACAACCAGTTAAACTATACGAAATGTTTTTACACGGTCAATATATCTACTGTGATGCTATAGCGTATCCCTTTATCAGGTCTCAATTTGATTAATTTTAGACTTACACATTTTGTATTTAATTTTATTTTCAAAATAAAACATATTTACTTTTTGATTTATTGATCAACTATGCCTTTTAATTTATAGTGACAAAATTGAGCAGTCAAATAAAGCTGAACCTTAAAGAAGAAAGAATATGAATAATCTTGAATGCTATCTGTTAAATTCTACTAAAATGTGTACAAATTTTATGCCTCACTTGACTTCAACTTAGCTTTAACAAAATAAACTTTAGAAGATGAAGAGAGTACATTGGTCTAATCTGTTAAAACTTATAGTTTAGCATGTAAAATATGTTAGTTTTTATTGAACTATATATTCGTCAAATCTTTTGCAACCCTATACACAGGCAACAAGGAAAATGAAATCAAACAAACAAAGAACCCAAAAATTTGCCAAATAAGCTGACATAACAAATTCAATACACCTGTGGACGAAGTAGCTGAGAAAATGGAGTAGATCGAAAAAAAAACGCACCGAAATAAAGCGAAACGTAGGGCAGAGCAAAATAAAGCGGTAGCAGTGGAGTGCAAAATTACGTAAATAGTCTTTCCCTGAAAAACACAAATCAACAGTAATTTTACCTAATATAGGAGCACTGCAAATATCAAATTGCCCGAAATCTTTCATTTGCAGGAAGAGACAATATGGAGCTAACAACTGGGGTAGGTGAGTCGAAGAGGACCGAAGTGAGAACTGTAGAAGTGTGAAAATACTGTTTCTAGTGGATAAAAGATATTTTTGGTACCCAATGTGAAAAAAATAAAAATTTGAGAATTATCAAAAATATGAATATGTTTTGTTTGATTTCTTTCACTTAATTCAATTTATCGATCGCAACTGTTGCCAAGAAACCTAATAATTTACGAAGTATTTTAAGTTAAATTGCTTTTGATGAGTTAGTAATTAATATAAAGTATAAATTTAATTTATTGTGTGCTTAGTATGTGAAAGTCGTTTTCCATGAAAAATGTGTATTCCTGGAAAATATTTTTGAGTGAAAAATACATATAAAAAATATTAATAATATTAGTAAATTAGGGAGCATTTAAATGAAACTTTTGAATAGTCGAGATTAATAATATGTTCAAAGATAAATGTGTAAAGAATCTGCCAATAAGTGAAGAAAATTATTTTTCTAATTTTTATGAAAATAATTTCCGTACAAAAAAGGACTTTTCGTAAAATAAAAAATTAATAACTTCCGTCATGTCAAACCCAACCTCGGCTAAAAGCCATTTCCCTTAGTTAAATTAAACATTAGAGATTCAGAATTGGTTGTGGACGAAGGTAGCCATTCGATTACGAGTTCAACTGAACGCGTAACTTTCGATACAGAATATGAATTTATATATAAAAATTTTATTAAATCTCAATAAGTATTGGATTGAACCCATAATTTTAGTAGTACAACGAGTTTAAGACTAAAAATTTTAAAAGCCAAATTTCATTAAATTTAAATTGTGAATCCGTTTCTGATTGAGAATCCAATAATGCAACAGGAACAATCCAAATCCAGCTTTGGTATTTGGTACTTAAAATGTATATCAGTTTTGTTCATATAACTTACACAGGATTATGCAAAATCTATCAAGTTGCCTTCTGTCTCCTGGATTTGTAAACCAATGAGGGAAACAAATCCTTTTAGATTCATGTCCGCTCCTTCATTTTTCTTAATTTTAAAATGATTCCATAAACCAAAGAGATTGCATAAATGGATGAACTGTCATATAATATAATGCAAATGCTGATTTGGAAATCATATAAATCATGATGTTTGGTTTTCTTATAGAAAATCAGATTTTTTTGGTAAGAGAGGAAACTCACAGCCGCTACAACCTCTGCCATAGTCTCCGCTACAACTTTTGTCACAGCCTCTGCCTTTCGGGTGAAGGTAAACCTCCCATATGTAATAGCCTGCAAAGTACACAGGGGATGTAAACCGCACTATGCAAGCCCTGTGAGACAGGCTCAACCCAGAAGACATTGAGGGGGGAATCGATCCCAGGTCATCCAAGCCATTGAGGGGGGAATCGATCCTAGGTCATCCATCAGGATGACGATGGATGACCGAATAACCGCCCTCCAAACCAACTGGGCAACCCGGAGGGTAGAAAACCAGATCTTACTGGATCAGATTTGTATGTATCGCAAATTGCAACAAATATTTAAGCTCCTGCCTCTTTTGTGGGGGTGGCATATCTTCAATTAATGCATCATTTGATTATTAAAAGATGGTTAAGCTTTTCTCCTTTTTATTTTGTTTAATAATCTCTAGTATTAATTGAGATTTACTTAATCTTAGTGCAGCTATGTTTGAATTCTTTACTTGGACACAACTTTTTGGCATATAGTTTAGGTTTTGACAATGTATATTTTAGGTTCAGAAGCATAAAAGCAAAATTATTGGAAATGACTTTATTT